CTATCAAAGACACAAATTCCAGGAACATATGCGATAAAAGTGTCTGTATTGCAGGTGTAATACGCAGCTTCGAGGACAGGTACGTCGATCTACTGGAATTTATGGGTCCGATTTGAACTAAAGGTTTTGATAAAGGCAGCCACTGCTTTAAGAGAGTATTTTCTAAATGAATTCGCTATTGAGACATACTTACCTAGGCTTTCCGATGCGAAATTCGCGTGGAAGTATGAACTTGGAGTTTTATACATTTACGGCCACTATTGATGGTCAACTACATTTAATCATGAGATGGACAACAATACTGTTAAATAAACACCGAGAAACCGCTCCTTCGGTGTGCAACCACGTTCGCTGGAAATACCCCATGGCCGTGGACAGGAGCTGGGTTTCAAACCCATATAACCCTCATTAAAGGGTTCCGGGGAATCAAGAACACTAACAACCCGGACAATCGAGAATGTCAATCTCACCGATGATAATATATTTCCATATCACAAATGCTATTCTACTATGATCACTGTATGAACTTATAGTTACGAGATATGGATTCCCAGTGTCCCTGACCTCAGATATGGGGCCCCAATTTATAAGCGAAGTTATACGTGTGTTTACATCATTGATGGCAATACACCATAAATTTACGCCTCCGTACTTCCATGCTGCAAATGGAAGAGTCGAAAGAGCAATAGGCACTATAAAAGGCTTGATCAAAAAAGCAATTTATGACTATAAGTCAGATCATAAGAAAGATGAATTGTCATGGCAAGTGGTATTGCCCACGGTTAGATGGGCGTATCATACAACAATTCATTCATTCACTAAGGTTTCCCCGGCTCAGTTAGTTTTCGGTCAAAATCTACGTCTAGCTGGCGATTATGTTAATATGACGCCTAGGACGGATAATGAACATATGGATAGATATATGATGAATATATAGGTTTTAGGAGGGAAAAAACCGGCGACGTGAGGAAATTGCGACTGCCTTCATTTCAGGTAACCACCAGTCTAGGGGAGGGAGATGCAGGAAGAAGCGAGGTATGAACATGAGATGGGACTCATATCTTCATTGTATCGTTAAATTCTGCGGCTGGCTCTGGCAATCATCGAAACTCTGAAATGGAGGGACTTGAGTGACGTCACCAATATGATACCTGATCGGCTGGGCATCGGTCTGAAGAAAATGAGGCCAATACTATAACATCATGAGATAAGATGAATTGAATACACAAGTGGTTCGTCTCGGCCGACTACAACCGAAGAAGATATATCTACATGTGATACAATAAGATTCATGGTTACGTTACACCGTTCATTGAATGACAGCGACGGCTAACGGAGCTCGGAATGCGGAGTCGGGCTACAGAATTATCATAGCTACGACAGCCTCTGCGGGGGCTCAAATCCTGCGGAGATGCCTCCCGGTAATGACAACTTTCCACAATACCCCACAACGTAGGATTTGTGTATCCTTGAAGGAAATCACCGATCGAACGGGGAGCTGATGAATTCGATTTCTTCCAAATTCAAGCGAGATTAGCAGGTCTAGACATAGAACCGGAACACAGCCTACGCGGTCGACGCCGAAAACCCTTTTCCATGGCTCAGAGTTTTCTAGAATATTTTTTGGTGCTATAATCATATTCTTTGAAACGGTTTAAAGACTGGATTTAAATTATTGGCACAAAATTTCCAGGATACTTCGACACCATTTGCGGGGGCAACATATTCACAACTTGTGATCTCATGGGATTCGACGGAACCTAAGGCTCGTATGGGGTTGGATTGCGATTCAGAGCGGTAATAACAGCATTTTCTATGCGAAAAATAATTTGAATGATATGGCCATATGGTCGAGAACATTGCCTTGAAATTGATGAGAGAGAGTCGGTTAGTCGAAACGATGAATGCTCAAAGTAACAAAAATACCTAAATGATAGGATTGAGCAATATTACTAAGGAGCTATGATAGTTGAAGATGACAGAAGCAGTGTTTAGAGCGACAAAAATGGCTAAATGATCGGGTTCACCCTCCCAAAATCTCTATAAGGAGACTGGTTTAAAAGGATGGATGTTCAAAGGGAAAAAACCAGTTATATGTGAGCATGTATACAAGCAAGTGGATCAATAAGGATTAATACAGCGAGGATGGGGATGAACCACGTAGTATACGGTAAATACCCGGGTCCGCAGAGGTCTGTGCATGCCCCCGTAACCTCTATTTATACAGATTTGCTATCAATCGTCATGTTTTATTCAGGTTCAATAATCCTCGTGATAATTGATCAATTGATGTCAAATAAAGACTATTATAACAATAACTGTTGCTCATGTTGTAGTATCTAGCATCTATAATCCAGATATCCTTATCCACCCAAATCACCAATAACTACGTTATTTTGAATTCAGGTTCGATTATGTCCGTGATGAATTGACATTGGACTACCATATGAATGTGAGGAATGTAGCGATACTATCAAGGCTCGAATGTAAGTGGGCGCTCGCTCGATTTTTTTATTTATTTTTTATTTATTTTTTTATTTTATTTTATTTTTTATTTTTTATTTTTTATTTTTTATTCCTGCTCCCTTTCCCAGCGCCCCAGCCGAGAAGTGACAGTCGCACTGTATTTTCCACCCTACAGGGTTATAAAGGATGCATCCGATTTATCATACCAGTATACTAGTACTAGCTAGATTCAAATCTTTACGGTTTTGTTGAGGGTTGGCCTTTTAAATGGCCGTACATCTTGTTGGATTAATTCTTTCTTTGCGTCTCCATCAAGCATTCACTAGTGAGACTCAGCTCTGATTTCAGAGGGGCTAAGCATTTTCAAGCTTTCGCCAACATGCATAAAATTTTTAAAAAGTTGCAGGGCTGACTCCGGACTCCACATATGCACCATCCCTTCACCAGCATAGGTAGGTATTTGCCAGTTCATCTGAATTTCACCAACCTACGCGTACACTGACCTAAGTCTATGGATTCGCCTGAACTGGGCAGGTAAAGTAATTTCCACCAAAGTTGTTCGCCATTGCGGAGAACAACTCTTTGATTGGCGATTGGGCCTTGTTGGAAGTTACACGTGCGCAACGACATGCTATTCTTGGTAGCACGGGCTGAAAACAGGCGTTCGTCATGTCTGTGTGACCCTTGTATGGTTGCAATGGACGCAAGGAAAATCTGCGAGTGCGAATAACTTTCCAGCTACTCCCGTTACAATGTTGTGATTCGACCGGGCATAACCATGTCCGCTTGAACGGCTAAGGGCAGCAAAACGTTATTCGATCAGCTAAGTTCCCGATCGATCGGAAGATACTAGCATGATGCTAGACAGCTTCAAGGGCTAGTAATAAGGGTATATAAGGATCGATCCACCCTCATTCCGCTCTCTTTTTAATGCTCCTTCGATAGCCTTAAAACTCCTTGCACCTCTACAATATATTCCTCCTAAATATTTGGAGCTAAGCTCTGGCATCATACCTATTACGCTCGTTAACTACATACCATCCTCTCGCTCTATTACAACCTACAAAATGCAGCTAACAAATCTTATCCTTCCCATTCTTTCGCTCGCTTCTGCTCTGAATGCGAGCCCAATTCTCGCGCCTCGCGCAAACGCTCCCGCCAATGTCTTCAAAGTCACAAATTTCTACGACAGCGGTGTCCCACACTCCCTCTCCTCATACGTATCATTCAACGTCGAGGACTCTACATTCAGCGCCTACTGCACTGCGACTTCTTCGGTCGTACCTACTATCGCTACTACCCCCTTCCCCACGAAGTGTAACAAACCCGGTGTATCATTTGGGCTTGAATACAAGACGGGGATTGGTTATGTCTTGACCATCATCCACAGATACAACAGGGATCAAACCATTGATCTCGGTATCATCTGGGTTGGAACAGACGTCCAGACCAGGGTTAATCCAGCCAACCCCAACGGCAATGTCCAGTATATCAACTACCCATCGAGCTTTAGCGTACCTTACAGTCGCTATACCCAGCCCAAGAAAACCACATAGGAAGCATTCAGGGAAACAAACACAGGTTGTGGGGCCAACTAAGAGCAATATGCCATACATAATCTTATACTCTTCACACTCTTTGACTTTGAGATAAGTCTACTCGGTAATGATTTTATGATTAATGATAATATTTTCTGGGCGCAATTGTCAATGTAATGTTAAACTGAGCATTATCCGTACATCCATCTATAGCTTAGCTAGCTGATTCAAAAATATAATGCCATTCCTTCCGTAATTCAACCTTCTCAGGAGTATCTAGACCACAACTTCCCTATTCCCAATTCGACCCTAGGAACGAGACCAATTCGACCCAATTGCTTAAAAGCCCTTTCTGTATTCCTAACATACAGACTCATTCATCTCTAGAGCAAAAAAATAGCCCGTCGGATTGCGGGGACATCAAAATGCAAAAGAGAAGGTCATCAGGCGGTTACCAGGGCTCGAACCTGGGACCTCTCGCATATTGGATCGTGAAGAACCCTAAGCGAGAATTATACCACTAAACCATAACCGCATGAGTGGAGATCACGGCAGCGGAGAAGCATCCATAGCACTGTCCGGGACAGATCTGACATGAAGGTTTGATTTCGAAATCCTATGTTCAAAGGTGAATGGGGTTGCTCATGGTACACAGGAGGTTTCTTCCTGGGTGCTCTCATGTCGAAAAATTGATCTTGATACCTAGGCTGAATTCGATAGATGGAACCATGTGATGATTATACTTTCAGACTGTCGTATTACATTCACTCTATGTAACGAAAAACCGCGCGCTTGTAAAATCACTTCATGGTCACGCTAACGACTTTGTTGCTGTTAATAGAAGTTGCCAACTTTGGGAAAAATTTTCGGTTACTTTGTTGGATTTTTCTCCCGAGATGAGTTGGTACTTCTGCCCGAGATATCAGCGCACAAAGTTTAGTCGCTCGACGGTAACAGCTTTGTAAGAAGCATTTCGGACGGGATCATCATCTGGTCGGTTGTATGGTGTAGTGGTTAGCACTCCAGATTCTGATCAAGTGATTTCTGGCGACTTGGGTTCAATTCCCAATACGACCTTATCAACCTTTCTTTTTGCCGTTTTTGCCGTTGCGCTTGTCGGCATCTCTTTGTAATCGATGGTTTTTGTGCCTATGACACTGGAATACTAGTAAAAGGATTGATGGGTATTGTTGGTCAAAGGAACTCTTTTTTTTGCCTTCGAAAGGATCTTTTCTTCCCACAAATTCATCATAGGCTGTCGGAGCGCTGGCAAAGCTGGCGATGGGTATCACCACGTGACTCGGATGCTCGTGACGTCACAAGAACAAAACTGGAATGTGTTGCGATACATCTGGAAACCTCTCGAAGGCGCTACCAAGTTCAGGTAGCTTCTACGTCAGTCCGGATCCGTCTCGCGATCCCGACTTCAAAGGTCAGACCACTACCCGAGTGTAAATATATTTACCCGTTCTCTTCCGTTTCATCTTCTTTTCTCCTTTGCATTCACACACATCAAACAAACCTGCCGAGTGATCACGAACTGTCACCTGAGCATTCGCGAAAGACGCATATAAAAGCAGCTCACCCGAACTGTTACATCTAACGAAGTCACGAACATAGAATACGCATACATCATTACTGCTCTCCTATCCTTCTAATCCTATAATACCGACATATCAAAATGTCCGGACCAGGCGGCCACGAATACACAGACCGGGCGCTCCTGGCTATTAAAAATGCCATCGAGCTCGCCCAACAGTACTCACATGTTGAGATCCGCCCGATAAACCTGGCGGTATCTCTCCTAACACCTCCTCCAGATGACAGCAAACCAGGTGTTACCGATGCTGTTCCCCAGGGACCCTCACTATTCCGCCAGGCCATCGAGCGCGCCAACGGCGACTTCCAAACCTTGGATCGGGAACTGAAGAAGGCTCTTGTTCGACAGCCTTCTCAGGATCCGCCACCGGAAAACCCTACATTCTCTCCGCCGATGTCCAAGGTCTTACGGAAGTCGCATGATTTGCAGAAGCTTCAGAAGGACAAGTTTATCGGTGTCGACCATTTGATCATGGGAGTCGTCGAGGACCCGACCATTCAGGTTGCCTTGAAGACAGCCAACGTTCCAAACACCAAAGTCCTTCTGGACGCTATTACTGCCATCCGGGGTGATAGGCGAATGGACAGTAAAACTGCAGATGCAGAATCTCCAAATGAGGCTCTCTCAAAGTTCACGATGGATATGACAGCTCAAGCAAGAGATGGAAAACTCGACCCCGTTATCGGACGAGAAGAGGAAGTCCGAAGAGTCATCAGAATTCTATCGAGAAGAACAAAGAATAATCCGGTTCTCATCGGTGAACCCGGTGTCGGAAAAACGAGTGTTGCAGAAGGACTAGCCCAGCGAATTGTAGCTGCCGATGTTCCTGCAAATCTTGCCCAGTGCAAGCTTTTGTCACTAGACGTTGGTGCGTTGGTAGCTGGCAGCAAGTACCGTGGAGAGTTCGAAGAGAGGATGAAATCTGTCTTGAAGGAAATCGAAGAGAGCAAGGAAATGATTGTACTCTTCATCGACGAGATCCATCTCCTTATGGGAGCTGGAGCTAGCGGTGAGGGTGGCATGGATGCAGCTAACTTGCTCAAGCCAATGTTGGCCCGCGGCAAGCTACACTGTATTGGCGCCACTACTCTCGCTGAATACCGAAAGTACATCGAGAAGGATGCCGCCTTCGAGCGTCGTTTCCAACAAGTAATTGTCAAAGAACCATCGTTGCCCGAGACCATCTCGATTCTAAGAGGGTTGAAGGAACGATATGAAGTCCACCACGGAACGACCATCCTCGACTCTGCTCTCGTCACAGCCGCAACTTTGGCACAACGTTACCTCACTTCACGGAAACTCCCTGATTCAGCCATCGATCTAATGGATGAAGCTTGTTCCGCTGTCAGAGTCGCCCGTGAATCTCAACCCGAAGCTCTCGATCATCTCGAGCGTAAGCTTCGCCAAATCGAAATTGAGATTCACGCCCTCGAACGAGAGAAGGACGCTGCCTCCAAAGAACGCCTTGAAATAGCTCGCAAGGAGGCAGCGAACGTCCAAGAAGAGTTACGACCAGTTCGCGAGAAATACGAATCTGAGATGCGCAGAAGCAATGAGCTTCAGGATCTCAAGAAACGTCTTGAGGAAAAACGACATAGGAGGGAAGCCTTGGAGCGAGAAAGAAGATTTCCCGAGGTCTACGACCTTGACAAGCATGTCATCCCCGAACTCGAGGAACGAATTCAGATGCTTGAGCGCCAAAAAGTGCAAGCCGAAGTCGACCAACTCACCAATCCCTCCGAAGGCGAGTCTCCTCTTGTCACCGATGTCGTAGGGCCAGACCAAATCAACGAGATTGTCGCAAAATGGACTGGTATCCCTGTTACCCGTCTCAAGACCACAGAAAAAGAGAAGCTCCTCAACATGGAAAAATACCTCTCCAAGGCTGTCGTCGGCCAAAAGGAGGCTGTCAAGGCGGTTTCCAACGCCATCCGTCTATCCCGATCCGGCCTTAGCAATCCTAACCAACCAATTGCCAGTTTCCTCTTCTGCGGTCCGTCTGGTACCGGTAAGACGCTCCTCACCAAGTGTCTTGCTGAGTTCCTGTTCGATGATCCGAAGAGCATGATCCGTTTCGATATGTCCGAGTATATGGAGAAGCATTCCGTGGCTCGACTTATCGGCGCACCACCTGGTTATGTTGGCCACGACGCTGGTGGCCAGCTCACCGAAGCACTTCGCCGGAAACCATTCTCTATCCTCCTTTTTGACGAAGTTGAGAAAGCCGCTAAGGAAGTTCTTACGGTCCTACTTCAACTTCTCGATGAAGGTCGTATCACCGACTCCCAGGGTCGTATCGTCGACGGCAAGAACACAGTCATTATCTTGACTTCCAACTTGGGTGCTGAATACCTTACATCCAAGCGTTCCGGCAGTGGGAGGATTGACTCCGAGACTCGAGAACTAGTCATGGATGCCATCCGTCGACACTTCTTGCCTGAGTTCATCAATCGTCTCAGCTCCATTGTCATCTTCAACCAGCTTGACCGCAGCGGTATACGGAAGATTGTGGATCTCAGGCTGGGAGAAATCCAGAAACGGCTTGCGGATAATGGAAAGAACATTCGCATAGTGGTGAACGATGTTGCGAAAGATTATCTCGCACAGGCTGGGTTCTCGCAAGCCTATGGTGCCAGAGTTATGCAAAGAGTTATTGAGAAGGAAGTGTTGAATCCCCTTGCGGTGTTGATCTTAAAGGGTGCGATCCGCGACGGTGAAGAAGCACATGTCGTTCTAAGCGTGGAAGGCGGAAGGGAAAAGATCATCGTCGTACCAAATCACGATAGCGACCTTGAAGATGATGATGTGGATATGGAAATGAGTGACCCGGAGGACGACAAGATGGAGGACGACGGACTTTATGACTAGGCAGACGGTAGCAGCATTTTGTAGGCGAAGATGCACGGTTGAGCCGAGTAGCGAGGTTAGATAATTTGAGCATGAGCATTGCATAAGGCGTTTTTCTCTTCACTGTATTTACTTTTTGTTTGTGCTTTTGTCTCTTTACATTGTACTTACGATGAACTCAAGTTGCAGAGTCCGCCAGAAGGTTTCCACCTTCGAAAGATGCGGCAAGGGAGGCTTTGTATCTAAGTTAATCAACCACACAATATCAAACAACTAGATTTCCCGTTACTGAAGTTATTCAGGAAACGTAGAGTGAATGTAGAGGCTTTGGGCTTGACTTGGTTGTTCCCGGCCCAAGATGCAATCCTGATCAAGTACCTCGGCACTGGTAAATTCTCGCGATCAGCGAAGTCATTGTCGTATGTCGGCCCTGTGTTGACTTCGTGGTATTTTCTCCCCACCCTCAGGAAAAGAAATACATACGCCTCGGTATAAAATACCAGGCTATCATTTCATGCTCGTACGCGGGTCAAGGTCCTTACCTGCAGGTAAGCATGTATATAATACTCCCCCTCCCAAATATTATCGATCCCTGGCCGCGGATCATTGTCTTTCTGGAAGAGCCGCTTCTATTTATAGCTTAAGCTTACCCGAGGGTTTTTTGATTCAGCTCTTCAGCCTTACCCTGGAAAGGAAAAAAAACTTCGATCTGCCGGCCACTTTTTTAGTCTGCGTCTCACTTTTGCAAATTTGCAAAATATTTCAAATGATTATTCATTAAAAATTCTTGGAAGATGAGCCCTCGTGATGATTTGTTATCGTAGATTTGAGAGAGTAAAACAACATATCAAGCCATTTGGTATGACAGCGCCGTTAACTAAGTTGGGAAAAAATATAACTAAAAAAGCACAACAATGACATGACCCAGAGATATAGAGGAAAAAATGAGAAACCCGTATAGTAAAGAAAGAAAGAAAGGAAAACCAGCAAACCCCCCAAGGAATGTATTTCTTGAGTCTAAGACGTTGTAAAACTACACAAATGGTGAAAAAGATTCTGGGACCCGCTTACACACTAAACACTATGATAATGCCCGCTTTTTTGACCCGTTGAGAGAAAAATAGGTGTAGTATATTTCCCAAATATTTGGCTTTTTTTTTTGCAATGTATTTTTTATGGCGAACCCAACTCCTTAAATGTTCATGTCATCAATAGTTTTAAGCAGCTGAAGTTGCGCTAGTCACAGGGGAAGTGGCGGTTGAAGCTGGCGCGGCACCACTACCGTTGGGATCTTGACCTCGGAAGATGCTGGGGTTGGCGTAGTCTATGCTTGGGTAGTTGGAAGTGACTCGGGAAGTGACAGGGATGGAAGTAGTGATGGGAGGTGGGAATGACTGAGGAGGATTGAGAGATACAATGGAGATGCCGCCGGTGAGAGGGCGGAAGTTCTCTGTGGCCTCAAAGTCAACCGAGTTATAGTTGGCGCCGAAGGAGCTTGGGACGGTGTAGGTGGTAGTAGCTGGAGTCAAGATTGGTGGTGGGCCGGTAGCAGAAACGATCTCAATACCGCCAGTGAGAGGACGGAAGACATTAGGATCGTTAAAGTCTCCGGGGTAGGAAGTAGGGCGAC